AAAACAGATTGCATACTCAACCATGATTTCAAAACAGAAGCAACAGCTTTGCTTCAATGAGAAAATCCAGAGTGCCATACCCAGGCCAGTCCTCGTCACCTGATTCTCCTGGCCCCACACCTCTGGCTGCCCACCTCTGGATTCCCCCAAAAGTCAAAGTAAAAAAGCACGTCTACTCCTTGGAGAGCAGGGGCTTAGCAGAGGCCTCGGTCTCTTGCTACAGCAAGAAGCCTCTTTCAGATTAGGAGCTGTTCCTCTGGGAGATAGTGATGACTGACCAACAAGCATAAAACATAAGAAAACGAGTGTTAATTATTTTACATAGGAAAGACAGAGTATTCATATGGCCCAGACATAGAGATAGCAAGGTCATGTGTTTCTCAGGATGGGGGCAACTGGAAAAGTGGGGAGAGAAAGGGAGAACTCTGTCTATGGCCATACCACCCTGAATGCGCCTGATATCTTCTGATCTCGGAAGCTAAGCAGGGTTGGGCCTGGTTAATGCTTGGATGGGAGAAAGGGAGAACTCTAAGAGAGACTATTTACTTTACTTTTTTTTTTTTTTTTTTTTAATCTAGAACAGTCTTTATTCCTGCTGGGACCCTTGGACACTTAATTTGTTTACTACTAACATCTCCAGCCCCAGCCTCATGTACATGTATGCATAAGTGTTGCTTATTGGCCATTCTGGAACTATAGTGGATGTGTAATAGATCAGAGCTGCCTGAACTTCAGAAACTCATGCCATAAAAAGACTGTAAGGTCTTAAAATAATTTTGCGGGTATACATTGTGTATTTGTGTGTGTGTGTGTGTGTGTGTGTGTGTGTGTGTGTTGTGTGTGTGTATGTGTGTGTTGGGATTGAATCCAGAAAAAGAGAGAGCCAGAAAACTTATACTATCTGATTTTCTGCAGCAAAATCTATCTTGGTGGTTCCTGTCCTCCTGGGTGTTAAATGACTGGCTTAAATGGGTAGTTTGCTTTAAATTTTATCCCACTTAAAAAAAAAATGTAGCAGTGACGCCTCCCCAAGCTTATATTGTTAAGAACTAAGCACCTTCTACCATGTTCCTCAACAGAAATTTGTAGCAACACTCTACGGGCATTCAGCCCAAGCGGGCACTCCTTGCTAAGGTTTAAGAAAACATGAAAACCACAAAGAATGTTCGAAATTATTTTCTCTAGGTTGGCAGAACAGATGCCTTTCTTTAAGGAAAGTGCTTTAGGCCAACGCAAAGCTATTATTCATAAAAAATATATATATTGTTTAGCCATTGTGCAGACTCCAGATTATATAAAATTTATTTTCACTTCAAGGATCCTACTTTCCTAGGAAACATTTATAATTAAAATAGAGCAGGAAGACAGGCAGAGGGTAAAGTGTTAACAGAAATCCACGATGCCAAGGGCAAGAGCAGTTTAAGAAACAACAATGCAAATCCATTGAAAGAAACCAAGCAATGTGGACTTGACTTTGTCTGGGGGTCGTGGCTGGCTTTACTTGTAAGGGCCTTGTCAAATCCATCTGTAGGATGAGGTAAAATGCAGAGATAGGGTATTATTCTAGATCATCTGTAACTTTTCAAATGCAACCTTCATGCTGAAATTCCAGGGAGCATGTAAGGGACTCCAATAAAAAAAACAAAAACAAAAAACAAAAAACCCTGTCAGTCAGTCAAAAGTGTTTATTTATTATCCACCCTGGGCCAGGCACTGTTCTAGCCAATACAAAATGATACAAAATAAAGAGTAGAGATCATCCTTATAATCTTGTGAGAGCAAATTGATTTAATCTGCAGTCTCTCTCTCTCTCTCTCTCTCTCTCCCTCTCTCTCTCTCTCTCTCTCTCTCTCTCTCGGTGGCCAAGAAACTCAAATATGGGCATTCAACAGACTCATTTAGAAAATCCTGATTAAAAAAAATAAACTTGCCGGGACCGGTTTGGCTCAGTGGATAGAGCGTCGGCTTGGGGACTGAAAGGTCCCGGGTTAGATTCCGGTCAAGGGCATGTACCTTGGTTGCAGGCACATCCCCAGTGGGGGGTGTGTAAGAGGCAGCTGATCGATGACTCTCTCTCATCGATGTTTCTAGCTCTTTATCTCTCTCTCTTCCTCTCTGTACAAAATCAATAAAATATATATATTTTTTTAAAAAATAAATAAATAAATAAACTTGCTGAAACCAGTTTGGCTCAGTGGTAGAGCATCGGTCTGCGGACTGAAAGGTCCCAGGTTCGATTCCGGTCAAGGGAATGTACATTGGTTGCAGTCACATCCCCGGTAAGGGGTGTGCAAGAGGCAACTGGTTGATGTTTCTCTCTCATTGACGTTTCTAGCTCTCTATTCCTCTCTCCTCCTCTCTGTAAAAAAATCAATAAAATATATTTAAAAAAATAAACTTAAGAAAATTAGAAAATCTGGGAAGTAAATAGTTATATTATAAATAGACTCATGCATTACATGAAGATAATTGGGCCAACAATGCACTGAATATACACCAGTGGTTCCATCCGACTATAATGGAGCTAAAATATTCCCATTCCCTATTGACATGGTTGCTATTGTAACATCATAGCATGTTTGAGGTGATGTTGGAGTAAACAAACTTTCTGCACTGCCAGTAGTATAAAACTATAGCACATATAATAATGTTTAGTATGTAATACTTGATGTTGATAATAAATAATCATGTTACTGGTTTATGTATTTAGCATACTACACTTTTAATCAGTCTTTTTGAGTGGACTGTTTTTACTTACAAAAACAAAGTTTGCTGTAACATAGTATGCTGTGCTATGAGGGCAGCAGCCTCAGAAGTCTCCTGTTTTACTGCATCTCTTGATTGCATCATTTCTCCTTGTGTTCGGCTTAATCTTGGTTTTTACAGTATCATGCCATGCAGTCTTGTGGGCTCTACCAATAGGTTTTACCATATAGCCTAGATGTGCAGTAGGTCTACTGTCTAGGTGTGCCTCTGTGCACTCCATGATGTTCACACATTGACAAAGTCACCTGGTGACTCATTTCTCAGAATGTATCCCAGTTGTTAAGCTGCACAAGACTGTAGATGAAAATGCATTCATGAGGCATGTCTTTTACAGAACAAGTCCAATGATGCTGTTAAAATTGGAAGCATTTCCGCTCTTGCTCACAAATCTACAAAAACGTTTTTGGAACATATTTCTTGGGCAAATATGGATTCACAATTCATGTCGAGGAGCTGCAAAAGTGAATAAAATAGCTGTGTCCTCTACACTGAAGTTCTTCAAAGCCAGAGACTGGGCCTTATTTATTTGCCTTGATATCCTGTGCTCTGTCAAGATAGAAGTGGCAAAAATAAATAAACAAACAAACAAATAAATAAATAAATAAATAAATAAAATAAAAATAAAAATAAATCAGAGTGAGTGAATGCAATAGTTGCATAAAGGTTTCACATTGGAGCTTTGCTCAGCAGAGTTTTAAGAAGAGAACAAGAGAAGAGGTCGAGGCTGTTACAAGCAGAGAGGTCAGGTTGGTTGGTTTCAGTGGGTGTCCACATAGAGGAAACAGATTTGGCATTTTCAGCAAGACCCAAGAGTAGGTCCTTGGTCAAGCATCCCTGGATCCTTTTTCAGGGTAACTCTCCTCAATACTGAGTAGATAACCTTGCAAGGTCAGGAAGGGCAACTCCTTAATTAAAAAAGAGTCATTGAAGACTCCACGCCTACTGTATATCAGCATATACCTTAAGGCTACAGGCTTCCTTCTGCTCCCTTCTTGGAGCTTGGTTCCTGGTAGAATTGTTTGCTTTGACTTAAACAGAAATTGGGTGATATGTCTGATTTGCTTGATGTCAATTTAATGCAGCCCAACTAGAATGCAAGCTTTAGAGGACAGAGACTTCTGTTTTCACTACCACACTCCCTGCTCCTAGAGAGCCATACAGTAGGCATTCACTAAATACAGTACCTGGTAAATGGATGAATGCTGTTGTTATTGTGGCTGTCTGTCTTTACTTCTTGCTTTATCCACCTTACTTCGGAGAGCTGGACACTAGAGGGAAATCTTTGAATTCCAATGACCCTTCTTCCTTTGGCCCAGAAACTCTGGCCAAGCCCTTTGGGAACGGGGATCCCCTTGGAATTTAATGACGAATCCTGGCCACAGGGGGCGGGGGCGGAGAGAGCGCGCTGCAGAAAAGTTCTTCCTCACTTCTGCTTGCTTTTGCGGCACCCTTCGCCACCCATCGTGCTCTTTACTTGGGGTTCAGGGCGCCCCGTGGAGAGGGAGCCAGGAGAGACTGCCTGCATTCCTTTCCCCGGCCCTTCGGGTCCTGTCTGGGGGAGCCCTGCAGGACCCCCCTGGCTATTGCCAGCACCTGTTGGACGGCCACTTGGCGGCCCCAGCCAGGACGAGAGGACGCGACCCCGGGGTGCCCCTCCGGCAGGCGGCGACCCCCGTCCTCCCTCCCGGGCGGCCCGCCGGGGAGCGGTTCAGCCTCCCCGCGCCGGCGGCGCGCTCCGCCCGCCCGGGCTTGGCCCACGGCCCCCTCCTCCCGTCCCCGCCGGCAGGGGGAAGGTAGAGAAGGGGAGGGGACAAGCTGGAGCCTCGGCCCGCCCGGCCTTCTCCTCTCTCTCTACACCCCGCGCGGAGACGCCGCTCCGAGCCCCGAGGTTTGCAGGGAGCCAGCCCCGCGGAGCGCGGGGGAAGCGCGCCAGGACCGCCCGGAGCCCCGCGGTGACCCCGAGCCGCCGACTCTCCTCCTCCGGCTTTGGAGGCGCGGGGGACGCAGCACCCCAAACAAGGTGAACTTTGATCGCGGACAAAACTTCCAGCCAGGTGCCGGGATCCGTGCTGCGGCGGCCGGGACCCGGGACCTGGGCCTCCCCTGCGCCCGTCCCCAGGGCGGCCTCGGCCCCGGCACCCCCGCCCCCCTGCGGCTGCTCGGCCCCGGGGACCCGCCGCGGCGCCCTCGCCTACTTTCTTCCCCCTCCCCCTCCGGGGGTGGGGGCGGGGCGGGGGAGAGGGGCTCCCGGAGAGCCGCATCCATTGGCAGCTTTTGTGATTGATCCGGAGGTGTTCGCCGCCAACCCTTGGCTTTTCCAGGCCGGCTCCGCGCGACCCCTCGGAGCGCCCGCCGCTGCCCGGTCCCCCCGCGCTGACAGGTGCTCCCAGCCACTCGCTGGTGACTTCTCGGCGCTGCTCCCCCGGCTCCCCCGCGTCCCCACCTCCCCCCTCTTCTCCTCCCTCGCCTTCGCCCCCACCCCCACCACTTCGGCACAGCTCAGGATTTGTTTAAACCTTGGGAAACTGGTTCAGGTCCAGGTTTTGCTTTGATCCTTTTGAAAAAAAAAAAAAAAAAAAAAAAAGAACTGGAGACACAGAAGAGGGCTCTAGGAAAAAGTTTTGGATGGGATTATGTGGAAACTACCCTGCGATTCTCTGCTGCCAGAGCAGGCTCGGAGCGTGCACCCCGGCGCAGCCTTCCCCTGGCGGCGGTGAGACAGACTCTGGAGTCGCTGCTGCTTCCCAAGTGCCCGCCGGGAGTGAGGTCTCGCCCCAGTCAGCCCAATGCTCCTCTTCGGGCTTCTCCTGCTGACATCCGCCCTGGCCGGCCAGCCCGGGGCGCAGGCGGAGTCCAACCTGAGTAGCAAACTCCAGTTGTCCAGCACCAAGGAGCAGAACGGTGAGTCTCGTCCCCCACCACCCCACGCCGCTCCCCCTCCCCGCGCCTCGCTGTGTGTGTGTGTGTGTGTGTGTGTGTGTGTGTGAGTGTTAGGTTGGCACCGCGCGTCGGGGTGTGCACAGCGGACTCGGGGGTGCCTGCGGGCTGCACCCCTGGGGCAGATGCGCGCCGCGCCCCGAGGGCATGGGTTTTGAGAGGGGACCTGCTGTTTGCAACTTCGGGAGCTGCCACCAGGCTTTCACAGGACAACCGAGAGAGGAGGACCTTCTGCGAGCGAACTTGAACGTCAGTTCACACACACACATGGCAGGACCTCTCGTTGCCAGTTATAAGTTCAAGAACTGCCTCTAAAACCGAATGTACAATGAATGAGTCTTGGCATGTTTGACTTTATTCGGATTTCTTTCTTTCTTTTTTTTTTTTTTTTAAATCCGGAAGGGGCTGTTTCAGGAAAGGTATCAGCTGCATTAATGGAAGCACTTTTAAGTGGGAAGGCATTGATTAATCAGTAGGTAGACAGGAACCACAGAGGTCAAGAGGCCTAGTGGACACTTTTAGGGCGAATTGGAAAAAAAAAAAAAGTGCATTTCTCTGGTGCTCTATTTTTTATTTATTTATTTTTTAAAATAATGTGCCTTTGTGTATACGTTTTCTAGTGGTGTGTATTTATGTATGTGTTGGTGAATGACTGCTATTTTGTGTGTGCGGGAAACGACTTAATCCTGCATAGGAAATGAGAATTACTTTCAGCTTTCAAGTGTACCTGAAATGTTTAGAAAACTCTCAGATGCAAGTTCCCTTGGGCTGGGATTGCACAGAGCCGGAGAAAGGCTCCTTTCATAACGCCAAGGGCAGCTTCAGGGTGTGTAATTTGCTTAGCCTCTGAACCCCATATGATTTACATCATTCAATTTCTAAACTCTTTCTCTCTTGATCTGCCATTATGAAGTCATTTTTGAGAACGCTTTGTAAATAGAAATCCTATACTGCACACGAAACCGCAATGTTAATGTAGGCTGTCTAAAATTAGAATATTAAACACCCTTGTTTACAAGCAGTGGCTCTTCATGCTGTTTGAAAAAAGAAACGTACATGTGTTGAAGGCTTTGTCTGTCATTCATTCTGAATGTGTGGAGGCTGTCACTTCTTGAGCCAGGCGAAATGAACGCAAGCAGCATACCTAGAAAACCAGAGTGGTGTGTACTGTATGTTTAAGTCACAGCAACTTTTTCTTTCTGTGTTGGGGCATTTCCAAGTTTCAAGTCTACGTTTAAACTCTCTGAAGTGTTTATCTTTGAGAAGTCACAGGAAGTCCCAGAGCACACAGGTAAATTCAATGAGGATTCCTGGGACCTTGTGCACACATGACTGGTGTTTGTTGCACGTGCGGCAATCTGTGGTGTCACATTTGTCAGATGTTGTTCATGGGGTCGCTTCTTACAACTTGCTCGTGTGATGGCACATGGCACCTGCAGGCTGCTGGCGTTGCTGATCAAAGGGCAGCCAAGGGATCTATCTCTAATCACAGGAGCTGCAGAGGACTGGGAGAAAGTGATCAAAGGAGCCCCCGCCCCCCCCCCCTGCACCAGCTGTACCCTGGCAGGAAACAGATCAGACCAACCTTTGTTCTTTCTCGTGTAAAAATGAATGTCCAGTCCAACGTGCTGCTTCTTACCAGGCAGGCGTCTCCAGGATGACAATGCCCAACATTCCTGTCTTCTGACTTCCATTTTTTATTGTTCCTTTCCCATATCATTTCTCCTACGGGGTCTGACTTATCAAGCCTGGCTGGCATCTGGCATCTTCCTGATTGCCTTGGCGACTTGTACCTCGTATTGTCCTTTCCATGGCATCATTTCTTGTGCTCCACATTCCACGGACACTTTGTAATAGGCCCCGGAGTTCTCAAGGGGTCGTTGGCCACTTTATGGAGCAGGTTCACACCCTTGGGAGAGGTGAGCTCATTAAGCCAGGCCACACACATTCTGTTGCCATCGGAGGCTGGGCCATTGCCATTCCTACGATGCATGGCGCTAAAAATAGCCTGGCTGTTTCCTAATCTGTGGGCACAGGATTGGGCTATGTTTAGCTCTTAGGAGGCTGGCAGCAGGAAGTAACTAGAAGTAGAGGAACTACTCACCTTGTAGTTTTCAGCCTAAAGAGAAGTGGGGCAGCCAAGCACTAGGGGGCAATGTAGAGCTATTTTCCTGCACATGCTCAGGTTGATTTGTATCCCTCAAGGTTCCAAGATTTGAAGATAAGAGGTTGGTGCTAAAGAAGATCCCTCTTGGAATGTGGACACATTTGCTAGAACCTCTCTGTGTGTTTGTGTGTGTGGCTTTCACATGTTTCATTCCCTCGTGTGTGTAATTTCCACCCCCCTCAGATTGAATTATGATTGATTTTTTTAATTGAAGTATTATTGCTCTTCTCAATCATTGCACATTATTATCTAAATCTAAATACACACCATCTGAGGGTGTCACATAGAAAAATGATATTAGCCCTGTCTGTGCATGGCACTGTTTTGTGAAAGGTCTTCTAATGCTAACCAGGGACTGTCCATATTGACCTGTTGTGATTGTAGTTCATTTCTGCTTTCAAGGACTCTGCCCCAATGATATTCTCTTCTCTGGAGCATTCCAAAGTCTTAAATGATGTTGACTCAATCAAATCCCCAGGCCTGCTCTGTTTCAATATTAACTTGGTATCTCAAGAGGTGTTATACAATATAAATGAACACAGAAAACAGAAAGAAACTCATAGATACAGGGAACAGACTGATGGTTGTCAGAAGGGAGGAAGGGCTGGGGCACCGGGACACAAAGGTGAAGAGGCTGTGATGTACAGGCTGGTCATTACAAAATAGTCATGGGGATGTAAAGTACAACATAGGACCTGTAATCAGTAATATTGTAATAACTATGCATGGTGCCAGGTGGGTACTGGGAATATCAGGAGGAACACTGTGTGAAGTTTATGATTGTCTAGCCACTGCGCTGTACACCTGGAACTAATTATTTAAAAAGGAGAACAAAAGATGTCTTATAAATGTAAATTGATTGCTATAGCCAGTGTTAGATATTTGGAATTAGGCGGGAACATGTGGGGGGCTCCCACATTTAAGGGATCAGTGTTCTTTACTGTTATTACTTTCCTGGTTTTAATGTAATACTGTATTGCCCTTCCTGCCATATTATAAGTTGTCTTTGTGTCATTCATTCTTAACCTGACTTCCAGTCCTGAAGTCTCATATATAAACCAACTGTCTCCAGATTTAGCTTAAAGAAGGAGATAAAAGATAAAAACACTGACTTATGTAGGGTTTCTGGCCTATACCTTCTGTATGACCATGAGAAAAATTACTACTATCTGTGTGCACTTATTTTAGAGGAGAAAGCCTAAATGGAATGAGTAAGTCCTGGGATGGCATTCTGAGTGATAACTGAAAGACAGAATCACATACATCAAAAACCAAAAATAAAACAAGGCTTACTTTATCCATTGCGTATAGTCCACATGGACTCCATCACAAAGTTCCTGATGGAGCGAGGCCTCATCTACCTTGTTCTATTGGTGGGTGATGTTAATTCCATTGACCTGAAACATGTTTCTTAGTGTTCTCTTTTTCTATAGCCATTTGGAGTGAAGATACGGCATATCCCTGTATTAGTTAGGGTTGTCCTTATCCACCTTACTTATGGTGTGCGCTCTTTTCCTTGAGGCCTTTGTGGCCTGCCTACAGGCCATTTACTTCAATGACAGATGTTCCCCTGGTAATGCATCCTAATGCCTTTCTGAGAACGTGCATGTTGTGTTTATGGCTTTTGTCTCTCTCTCTCTCTATCTCTCACTCTCTCTCTCTCTCTTGCTCTCTCTCTCTTTTTTTCTATGCCAGCTCTTTCCTCCTTCTCCTGCTGCCTATGTCCCTGTATATAACAAAATTGTGCCCAATCCTCCCGCCCCTTCTTTTTTTTTTTTTTTTTTAAGGTGGCAGCTCCAAAGCTCTGTTTTACTGAAAAACAGATGATTCTGATTTTTAGAATAGCATCTAAGAGCAAATAGGCTCTGACAAAGGCCTAAAGGGACTTTCCTACTTGTTAGTCTATAAGTTGCAATGTGTGACCTTTGTGACATTTATCTTGGTTGTTAGAGGTTTTTATTTTCGTTTTTAAAAAAGAAAAAGAAAAAAAAAGCAACTTCCTCCTGGTTCTCTGTTTGGTTTGAGATAGTTGAGGAAGTTGAAGAAATGAAGTGGCATTATGTAATGATGAACATTTCTTTTCACAACAGGTGACAAAAAGTCCCGTTCTATTTTATGGTAACTTTTCTCCCCTAGCAGCCGTTACCTTTTACATTGAACTTGATATACTGTGTATTTACCTCTAAAAGGTAACCAGAAAGTACCAGGGTCTGGAAGAAGCTTCAGGGACTAGACCATGCCTTGTTAATTAGTTGTACAGACTCTAGGGTTCCATTCTAAACTTTTCCCAAAGGGGCTATTTTGTAGAGCTCTATCTGGGCACCCAAGTCTTAGCTTTGTCTGTTCTTATGTCATCCTTCATGAAACTTATTTCTTACACATTTTCTTTATCTTCTCTTCCACTTCATGTTTTTTTTCCCTTTGTACTGCTCAAATTGTGTTTTATCTACAAATATGCAGTTTTTGTAGAAAAAGGATTCTAATGATAGTGTGCTATGTGTTAAAAAAATTTTAATTGAACCAATTTATATATATATATATATATATATATATATATATATGTCTAATATGCTAATTGTCCCTCTGTCTGTTCAACCATTCGCTATGATGTGCACTGACCACTACGGGGCAGATGCTCCAACTGGGAGGTTAGCTTGCTGCTGGGGTCCAGCTGTTCTGAACTGAGTGAGATGGGCTGGATATGCCCTCGAGCCCTGCTAGAGTCCCTCCGCAGCCCTGATTGTGCCCTGGTAGGGTCCCTCAGCCTGGCCTGTGCCCTCTCCTAATCTGGACCCCT